AGGGTACGTTTTATATTGATTGTTCGCTGCTTTTATGTTCCTTTGATAGATTTTCTTCTTTGATCTAATTTTAAGAATTTCATCAGTTCAGTTTTAGACTAACTATTTAGTAATGATTTATATTAAAAACAATATAGAAGACTATGGCCCATATTCTGAATCCTCTTTTATCTATAAAAGTGCCTCTAAAAGAGGTTTAGGAGCCACCTGATTGGCTGAAAAGCTACATTTAAGGCACTTTTATCGATAAAAGAGGATTCGGAATATGGGTCTATGTTTTTTTCTGTTGATATATTGACTTAATGGTGGATAAATATCTTGCCTATACCTACATGTTATCTACTTACGTGTATCTAATTTAACCATCTAATTTTAAAAATTGATATCAGATGCACAATGTATAATAACCAACAAGGGACATATTAATTATCTTGGGTTTTCTTGGTTATGTTTCGATTTTGTAAGGTTGGTATCTCGAATTTTACTGATTAAAAGTTATGATCGCTTTACGAGAAACATTGTGGATGACTGTACCTGGAGGAGGTCAAGTTTCCTATTTTTTACCTCGAACGGCGTTGGCAATTCTCCCTGTGATCGATATATGACTTTCCTGCGGATCTCCAGCATCCGGAAGCAAGGAAGCAGTTTTCTCATTCCCGATACGTCTTCTCTGCTCGGAAAAGCCATAAAGGAGGGTGGAACTGCACGTGTCTCGAACACGGCGACCATGGCACGTAGCTTTGAAAAAGTCATGTGTCTTGCTTTAATAAAAAAAAGCGAAAAAAGTAAAAAAAAACTCATTGATGCGAAAGGGTGACTGCGGTTTGAAAGAGGTCGTAGGAAACGTCACCTTTGGTTTCGTATAGACACGACAGGAAGTTGTTTTCTCGTAAACTAATTCTGTTGCGTCGGGAATAAAACCTGTGGTATTAGGTAGGTTTGGTAGCTATTAGGTCTGTCTTTTTTTTCTTAAAGTAGACCGCCTTTTAGCCTTTAGTGTGCAACAAGCATAATAACCTAATGTTGGGAAGAAAAGGAACTTTCAGTGAAATATTGCGGTTCAGTTAAAAAAAATTGATATATTTAGATGTTCCGCAAGAGAAATCGCATTGTTCAACCCTTTATTTGGCATACCTGTTTGGCATACCTGAAATTTTCTTTGATCGTTTGATCGCATTTCCTCTATTTTCCTATTTATATATCCATATTTACTATTATCAGTCACATTTCAATTAATCGTTATGGTCGTCATGTCTTAGACGCTTTGTGAAAAGTACGATCGATTGCGTTGTGCGAAGTGTCTCGATTTTATTCAGTTAAAAAAAGAATAGATATCACGGCGTGTGCAACATATTGAAATGCGATTTAATGCGATTACGCGTTTCCACGGACGATTTTGTCGAGCGAGTTACAGAATGCTTGTGCGAGAGCTTCTAACGGCCGGACGGACGCATAGAAACGCGGATGAGAGCCCGAAATGGGATTAAAAGGAGCGGCCGGGAAAGAGCACAGTCGCCGCTTTACTCTAATACGATGTTCCGGAGGTGGAAAGCCGGGCGGTGCGGTTTTGAGAGGTTACAACAATGGAGCAACAATTACTTTATTTTGACTTTGCGGCCGGCTTTTGCGCCCTTTGAGGCGGCCCGGAGACGACTCTTTGTCAGCCACCACGTTCTATGTCCGATGTCAAACGTGAAAATGCGATGGATATAGAAATGCTCCCTCCCCTCTTCTCCCGTTCGTGCATTTATTCGTTTCGTTTGTGCCGAACCGAGAGATCGGTGAGGTGAGCTCCCGCACCGCGACAAATGGCTTTCGGAACGCTTTACCGCGCGCCGATCGCCGAATTCTATGGCGGCGGATACATTCCCCTACCGTTTTCTCTTCCTGTACGACTTAAAAATTCCAATCAGACTCTCAAAGTCACGAAAGCGGACGCGGAATAATGCGTTCATCCTCGAGGACAGATCAATCTGACGGAGATTTACTATGTGAAACTGAAATTGGCGCAACGTTGGCCTGTGAAAAACGACAAACGAGACGAGACAAATAGACATGTTAAAAGATAAGTGATGGAAAAACATGCACTGTCATCTACAAAATGACTTCAAAAAATGCTTGCAGGTGTACCTCGCGTACGATATTCCTTACACTAAACATGTACATTTAAAATATATCAATTCTAATAATTTTTAAACTATGTATTCAACTGGTACTAATTTACTGTGAAGAGTATGAGCCTTTGATATAGATACAATTTTACTCAAATGACAGTTCTTTCGACTCGTTCCAATTTTTGTAAATGTCAGGTATTTGATAATAAAAATTTGTGTTATTTAAGCGTTTTATCATGTCTTAGACACTATACTTTTGGTTTGCAGGAAGAAAAACTTTCTGTGTTACGTTTCGTAAAACGGCTTTTTTCCATGAAAACAGGCCCTTCGCAACACTGCGCGTTGCGCGCGTATACAATGCGATATTAATGGGCGAGATCAGTGGTAGGAGGAGGGGACCGGGGGGAAGAGAGAGAGCCCGTTTTCACATGGAAATTCATGAACTCGCCTCTCAACGGCGATTTCCACGGGCACCGCGAACGAAATCCGTATTTTAGAGAAGAAGTACGGAGCCGCCGCTGCCTCCGGCCGCACGTAGTCGGACGACGACGTTGAAGAATCGCCCTCCGTCCTCCCATCGACGCTCTGCTTTGCACTTGAATAACCCAATTTCGGGATGGAGCGAGCTCTCCGGCTCCGGGGCATCCGCCACCGGGGGCTCCTCCGCCGCCGGCGCGTCCGCAAACAATCCACTCGACGAAGATTTACGAGCTGAATTTTATCGCGCTCGCGTTCGCGTCTCGCATTCTTCGTCCGTTACGTACGCGCCCGCCGTGAAACTTCCTTAATGCGGTCATACTTCCTTTTACCTTCTGCTCGCTGCGAGGGGAGATTCGTAAAAGCGAGATCGCGTGGACGACAGCAGCCGTGGAGCCTCGAGACGACGATCTCTCGAAGGGCGACGCTCGCTTCTTCTTCGCGCCTCGGGTTTACTGAATATCCTCATTTCTAGCGCGGTCCCGCGATGCGCGGCGGATGTTCGTATTTTCGCGCTCGTCACCGCGCCAACTGCTCGTGAATTATTCGCGAGGTGTAGCGCGCTAACGCGAGGGTCGTTGCGTCGCGCTTCTACATTGTACGGCCGCGCGTCTCATTTCACGCGATCTCATTTTACCGCTCAATTACGGAGGTGCAGGGAGCTCCAGCTGGAATTTGCACGGAGTCGGCGGCACCATGCAAACTCGTGAAACGCGTTTCACGTCGCCGCAGTCCGTCGTGGTTTCTACCTTTTTTCCCTTTTTCTCTGGAGAAAAAGACGACACGGCGACGCTTGAGAAATCGACCGCCATTGAAATCAAGAGAGAGAGAGAGAGAGAGAGAGAGAGAGAGAGAGAGAGAGAGAGAAAGAGAGATGGAGAGGCAGAGAGGTGCTGGGTCCTCGGGTCTGCTTTGCACCTGAATGATCCAATTTCGTAGCGAGCGGTGTCTTACGGTGCGCCCGCGAGAAAACACGGTCCCACCGATGGCGGACCCAGTCCGTGGTGTTGTTGTGCGACACGCTCCTTTGCAAATGAATAGAAAAGCACGGCGATGCGCGACGCGCTCTCGAGAGAGGGTCGAAATTATCCCGATTTTCCTCGGCGAGGGCCATCCCGCGTTGACTTCTCTCCGCATGTTTCCTCTCATTGTGAATCAGCCATGCGAGCGTGGCTCTTGCGGCTCTCTCGTCGCGACAATGCAATTATACGCCTGCTAGATTGCGGCGGGATTTCGGGGGGTGACAACTTCAATTTCTCGGCCACGTAAACGAACCGTTTACGGGCTATCGCTTCTTTTCAGCGCTCGACTTTTCGATCATCCGCGAGATTTTCACGCGAGCTTAAATGCCGGAGGATACGTTCGTCTTGTAACGGCAAATCAGATCGTGCTGACGATAACGTTTCGATTTCTGCAAACGTCACTCCCTCGTGTATTTAACTGTATTATACAAATCATATTGTGCAATTATTATTAAAATTATTGTGAACTACACGATAAAATTATTTTATTTTCATTGATTAAATATACAAATTTATTTGTCACTTTACTTATATATTTTATTCATATTCTATTTATATTTATTTTTTTTATGATATAATATTTTATGATATAATTATCACGCTTTTTATTATTGTTTCTATTTTATATAATTTTTATATTTGCACGCATTAGAAATAAAAAAAAAAATATATATACGAATATATAAAAATTATATACTCGTATATAAATGTATACACTAAGAGAAAAATTATATTAAAATCAACAAATATTTCCTTGATGCCATTAACATATTCATTTAAATTTACATTCTCTTTACTTAAATCAAATAAAAACTTAAATAAATTGTTTACCCGATTTAAATAAACAATATTTGGTTTAAATAAAGAGAATGTAGATTTAAGTAAATATCGCGCCCATCAAGGAAATATTTGTTGATTTTAATATAATTTTTTTCTCAGTGTATACGTTTATATATATCTTTTATTTCTAATGCGTGCAAATGTAAAAATTATATAAAATAGAAATAATGATAATAAAAAGCGTGATAATTATATTATAAAATATTACAAAGCTTTGCGAACAAGAGTTACACACGCTAGCGCTATGTCTGAAAAACGTCGCGCGATTTGTTAAACGCTCCGCGCTCATATTCTGCTGTTCATTCAAAGCGCGAACGGTCGAGGGCTGCTATTAAACGCGATGGGAGTCCGCATTGTGCCGCGAGAGGTAGAGGCGTGTAAAGCATAACGTCGAGGTAGCCACAAAGTGCGTTTTCGGGATGAGCGTCGCGATAGTACAAATGCCACGTTCATTTTTCAGTAGCCGCGTGAGCCCGATGGACCATTTTTCAGGGGGGAGATTATCCGCGTCACTGCGGAGTCGCAGCGTCCTCTCCCCCTTCCCTCCTCCCCCTACGGATCGCAGATCCCCGCGTGACGCGGGAGACGATCGCTATCGTTTTCCTTCAAGGATGAATTCAATCGATAAGGATCTGCAACTAAGCCGGTCCGAAATATATGATTGTGAGCGAAAGCGAATTTTATAGGAGAGGTGCTTTCAAAATGAAATTATAACGTAGCGGAAATTCACTGAGAGATAAATAAATAAACAGTTCAGTTGGGATAATTATTCACACGTCGCGGTGAGACACTGCTTGAAGTTGCGCCCTTTCATGAGAGCGATATATCGCTCACGTCCGAGCTTCGTCTCATGTGTTATCCCATCGTAAGCAGAATCTAAATTCTCGCGTATAAAAATGTAACGTCAAGAAGGCCGAAGGGGAAGCGACCTCGAGTACATCCCGCGAACCAGGAACATGTCCGAACATGACGTGGCGAGATCTTACGACGCGTGACATCGAGATCGGCGAAAATAAAAAGACACCTCGAACACACTTCTAACCTCTGGATGGCACGTAATCTGTTCTATACGTCTGTCGTGCAAATGTCGCGCCACGGGACGCGCAAATGCGTCCTCGAGCGCGGATTTATCCGCGCGTATTTCCAATCGCCGTAGGAAGATGTGCTTTCGCGCCATCATAAGTGTATCCTTTCACGACGCATGTCGGACGCCGAAATCGTCTCGAATGTAGCCGCTCGTCTCTGCAGGAACCCCCGTGCAGGATATGCGCTCGTCCTCCTCCACCAGCTGCTTCAGACCCGCGCGTCCTGGAAAACCGTTACCGATCGTACGTCACGAGGCGACGAGAGTACTGCGATCTGAGGCGATGCAACGCGAAAGTTGGCACGAACCCGCGCCCCGAATTCGACTCGCGCCCCTACAATGTTCATCGTCTCGTGAACAAAATTCAAGAACTGAACAGGAACGTTCAGGACCTCGAGAGATCGAAACACGGCAGAGCGGTAATTTTTTGCTAATGAATTGTGTTGAAGTGAAAAGGTAGCCGTGGAGAATTGTAATTTTGCGCGCGACACTCTCGTGAAAAATTAGGAGAAAGTTGAACGGCGCACTGCGAAGCAGCCGGTGGATACCGGAATAACCGATTTGAAAGACGCTCACGATGCGGCGCGGAACTGTCTGCTGGATATCGAAAGGATCAGAACGTTCCTGGCGGATGAGAGCTCCTGGTGGGAAATGTTGAAGGAACAATCGGTCAATTGTTGCCTGGAGAGGTCGCCGCATCTTCACGGGGTTTTGAACGGAACTTCGGTTACTCTGATGTTGCACGAAGATGGGATCGAGGAGGTACGATTCCTCTCAACGTTCAATTCGCTCGGGAAAGCTCTCAATTAATTTTATTTCTGTACGTTTCAAATGTACTTGATTCAACTGTGTGTTTAATTTAACAAGATTAAATTCAACTTTTAATTTGAAGTTCATTTCAGATGAATTCGTTTCAAATTAATTTCATTCAATTCGATTGAAAATTGTTGAAACGTCAATTGCGGATTCGTAAATTGACGTGTTTAATAAAAAGCTGCGGTAACTTAATGAAAGGGGGAGGAAAGTTAACGCAACTCTCATGGTAGGCATCGCATCGTTTCGCGGCCACGCCGAAAAGAGGGACCAACGTCGCCCATTTCAGTTTCCGAAACTCCCGGCTCTCGTCGAGGGAGCGGACGAACGAAACGAAATGCACTGAGCAGTGCACGGACGCTCCTTGGGAGGAACGCGCGGAGGAGTACACGGTTCCGTGTTACAGTATCGACATGAAGTCGACGTTGATCGAAGTCGGAAGGTAGTCCCGCCTCTTGAGAATTTCTCGCGATCCTCTCTTGCTCAGATCTATCATTTTCCAAACAACATTTGAGATTCGCATCGATGTGTTCATAAAAGCGTTTGATTCAAACTTGGCGAGCAGGGAAAGGGTTTTTCTGAGAAAATATCTCGAGAGGGGAATAACTTCTTTCACAGCAGTGAGAGGCACGACGCGACCAAACGATACGCGAAGTCGGCCACCAAAAGCAAACAGAATACTGTCGCTTCTGAGGTTCGGACAGGATCGCAGGAGGACAGAAGCGGCGAACAGAGAGCGCAGGATCGGCCGTACAGGTCCAAGGAGACGCGCGAGAAGTCGCAAGAGAGGAAAGAGAAGAGATCGTCTGACAGATCGAGTGGTAAAACGCCATCGCGACCGTCATTAAATTGATAAACATAAAATTCTGAAGTTAATTTTACGGGAATTCATTCAAGTCGAGATCACATTCGAGATGCGGTTTCCAGCTGCACCGCCGAGAGAAGTATGGTACGGCCAAAACGCGGAGACAATGTACGAGGACGTGTCGAGGCCCCGAGAAACGTTCAGTAGCGAGAACACCGGAAGCACGAGACATATCACCGTCGATTTTACGTCGAACGTGGATTTGAACGCGGTACGTCAAAGAGAGCGGTCGAAAAAGGTGGTCGAAAAAAAATTGCTCCAAAAGTACCAAAGTCAACAAATGGCGACGTCATCTTTTGGTTCTGATTTTGACTGAACTCGACTGTGTGCGAGCTACCAAGTTTAAAGTTTTGGATCGTCATCTGTGAACAGACGTGTACAGTTCAAAATTTACTAGCGAGGGCGGCACTGTATTGTTGTCTGTTGATTGGAGCTTTTTGGTGATTTTGGATTATTGGAACACTAATCGGTCCTCCGAGAGAGTTTACATGGTTGAAATCTGCTCGCCGTAAGCTTTCATAACATGCGAAATTAGGCATTTTCGAGGTACGGAAAATCAGGCTAAATGCTTCTTGGTATTTGGCCGCACTCTTTCCGTTATTCGCAAGTTTCTCTCTCTCTCTCTCTGTCTCTCTTGCGATTTCGATTGATGTGATTTATTTCGTTTTCAGGAGTTCCCGTCCAGAAACGCGACGAGTCATCATAAGCCGCGAACGAAAATGGTCACCGAGAAAATCGTTTATCGCGTACAAAAGTCTCCGACGAGAGTTTCCAAGAGCAAAAGCAGGGACTGACGTTTCTTCTTCAGCACGCTGTTCAACTGATAAATTTAACGGATGTTTTACAAATGTGTGATACAATAAATATTTAGAAATACAATAAACATCTTAGGATTGCGAGCAATTAATTAATTTTTGAATTCATTTTTGTGCTTAATTGACGACTAATATGAGCCAACTCAATGGGAGACTGACTCGTACGGGAGATTGTAGAATCAAGCTGGGACACCTTATATATGCACACAGATCGATTAGACTCATCGAGTTTCACGGCGTTCAACTTTCAAATCGTGTCGGCCCCTCGTCCGTATGCTTTTGCAAAACATCTTCACCGAAACACTTCATAATTTTGGAGGCGTATCACAGGATCCTTAAATTCTTCGGAGATTTTAAGAAGAGGATCGGTGATGCTTACAAGTGGCGTTCGAACAAGCGGGAGCAGAAGCAGGTTAGACCACCATCTCTTCGTCTCCGTGTCTCATTTTCGATCATTATTCATCACGTATCTCGAGCAAGTGCGCGTGAGGTGATAACGTTGCGTCACAAGTATAAATTAATAAATAAATAATTAATAAATTCGTCCGCTGATTGTCTAGACACGCGAAATGGAGAAGATTCTTGTAATAGCGAGAAGCCCGGCCCCTGCAATCGATAACAAGTTGAAAATGGGCTCGAAGACCGTTGTGATCCTTCGTGAACCAGCGTTATTGCGATCCCCGCTTCCTACTCCGTGCACTTCGTCCCAGTACACGACTTTAACGCGAAGCGGCTGAGCTCGGCGAGCGACACGTCGAGAGTAAACGCGCGGGGGACCCCAAAATCCTCGCCTCGAAATTAGAGATGGAAGGAAGACAGAAAAAATTGATATCTTTTAGTAGACCCGTTTATATCTCGAATACCGAATTATCGGATGCGTCTACGAAGGAGGAAGAAAGTATATCGACGATTGACGAAGAACGATTCACGGAGTCATGCGAGCTTCCGAGGAGAATTGAGTTATATTCCTCCTACAGAGGCGGCTGCTCGAAATCGTGTACGGAGCACAAAGAAACCGTCGTGGAAAGGTACATCATGCCTCGCCGTTTATTTCGCGACCGTTTTCATTGAGATCGCTTAACTACAACCGAATCGGTGTTATTATCTCTTTCTGTATTGCATTTTAACATTTGATTTATAATACGTTCTTTGCTTCCTGCTTCCTTCTCTTTATCTCTTTCTGATTCAAACCTTAAGCCTGATCTACAATATACTCTTTGCGTTCTGTTTCTTGTCTTCGGTTTTTTTCTGGCTTAAAGTCTGATCTACAATATGCTCTTTGCGTTCTGTTTCTTGTCTTCTATCTTTTTCTGGCTTAAAGCTTAAGGTTTGAGTCAGAAAGAGATAAAGAGATAGAAGCAGGAAGCAAAGAGCATATTGTAGATCAGGCTTTAGGCCAGGAAAAGACAGAATAAGAAGCAGGAAGCAAAGAGCATATTGTAAATTGAGCTTAAAATTCTATTTTGATCCAAAGTCGAAATTTGGGTTCTATCTTCGACTTCAATATTTTACTTAACACTATCTTGACACTCTGAAGCTTACATCAACTTTTTTTTTATTCTATTTAATCTAACTTTTTGTCAAGTTATGCCAAGAATTAATCTGTGTCGAGAACTTCTTTAGAACTTATAAGCGGCATTTTGTGCATTTTCCGCCATTTAGAAACGCCACGTAGAACTTTAGTCTCTATGTGTATTGAACTGCTCCTTCAGAATATACAAATGTTAGAAAGTTCAGGCCGAGAGTAAGCTGAAATTTCGGATATCACGAAAATACGAGGGAGACAATCAATGAACGCTTCGCCGCGCAGAAGTCAGTCTCATCGTGTCGAGTCTCGAAGGCAGAACCGCGAGCGTGTACCGATACCAATCGTATGTTGTACGTTTATATTACAGTGCTCGAATGTTGGACTGCAAACCGCAAACGTTGCGTGAATCATCGTCCGGTCAAAAGAAGCTCGAGACAAAACCGTGGGCGAAGACGCCACTGTCTGACCAGGTGAAAACGAAACTGAAAGGGACGTCGGGGAGGCTGCAGGTTCTCTTTTTCTTCTACTTCTCCTCCTTCTCCACGGCGGCATATTTTCGCGCGAGCCGCGGAATCTCAATGAGCGACTTCCGACAGAACGCGTTGCCGTTTTTCGAAAAGGCGACGAGGCGCACCTTGAGCAAGATAAAGTCCTTTTACGCGGGCTTGAAGGACGACCTGAGGGGAAGACGAGTGTTGGGATTCAAGTGCAACTTGAACAAGTGCGACAGCACCCTGATGGAGTGCAGCGCGAGCTCGTGCAAGAAGGAGAGCATGATATTCGGCGGGCCGGCTTATCCTCACGACCCGAAAGATCTTTTTGATTCTAGCGCCAGCGACACTTCAGCAATATCTAGCATGGAAAAGATCGGAAGAATTTCGCCGTCGTAACGTAGAAATGTGTGTCTCATAATTATCACGATCTCTTACTCTCTCTCTCTCTCTCTGTCTCTCGATTTTCTCTCACCAGTCGACAAATAAATTTTCAAGCCTTCTTTTCTCAGTGTATATGAGTGACAATTATACAAATTTCATATGTTGAATTAATATATATATATATATATATATATATATATAGTTAATATATATATATAGTTAATATATATAGTTTGACAAAAATATTTTGCAGTTATTACACAATTGAAGCTAGATAATTATTAGAGAACCATATAATTTTTAATTAGAGAAAAGTTAGAGAACTAAAATAGTTCGCTAAACACATCAATCCTACATACAAAACTCGTATAGATGTCACGCGTATAGTTACCACCACAATGTCGTTTTCTCTGAGCGCGGCATGAACACCGTAACCCGTTTGTTCGACCGAACAATGTCGACACGTCTCCGCTCGAACGCTCGTCGCGATTCGATGATTTGCGGCGTGAGCGGCCGCGGGGAAAGGGAGAAATAAATAAAACACGAGATTGCCAGGTGTGCTCTCTCCTTCTCGGGAGACAGAGAAAAGGAGAGAGACGAGGAGATAGAGAGAAAGAGGGAGAGAGAGAGAGAGAGCATTTACGTGGGCGTTAAGTAGCGATATATCACCGGCCAGGTATTCAGAAGGCAAATCGACCTTTATTGCTTTATAGCGCTTGTAAGCCTGGCTGCACGCCATTCCAAGCCGCGCATGTAATCTGGATGTAAAGAGCTCATTATTAAGGCCGCCGCACTATTCACAATCAGGACCCCGAACCGACTACACTTTGATGGCCAGGTCCAAGCGCGATATTTTCCGCTCATGTGAGTCACCTCGAAGCTGAGAGCGAGTCTCGCGTTGTTCGGGGTCGGACTCGAAACTGAGAGCGCTGTTCCCCAAAACGATATCATTTCTCTCATACTTGTTCGTTACGGATTTGACATAATTCTACATTCAAAAAAAAAAACTTCAAAAAAGTTCCTGATGAGATACCAGTTGGTTCGTTCCTGATGAACGAACCAGAATTCTGATAACTTCAATCGGAATTTTCATCAGAAAAAGAGTACGACCAAATACCTATAAGCATGTGGTCCAATTTTTTTTGGACCAAATTGGATAGAATTTGGTCATACTTTTTGATCAATCTAACTAAATGTTTTCTCCCGTGTGTACTTAGATAAAAAGGGCAAAGTTCTCTTAACAATAGTATACTTAGAATATTTCCCTTTCGACTCTTCAGAATAATCCCCTTGAATCCCATACACACGGGTGTAAATCCTCTAGGAAGATTTTCGGAAGATTCCGCTAAGGATGAGATTACATTTTTTTGGATGGTAACATTCACTTTTGGATCGGTAACATTCACTTATTCAACAAAGTTGCGTAAAACATGGATTACGGCGATCCTCGAGTTGGGCGTAATTCGCGTCTTAAATTGAACTCATCGCACGGGAAAGCGTTTTCAACTGAACAGCTTCGCTTCAATTAATCGTCGGAGAAAAATCGTCCCGTCGACATATTCCCATTAGACGCTCGAACGTCTACATTCATAATTTAAGACGATTCACGCAATCTGTCCACCCACGCGGAGGTCCCTCCTGACACGCTCGCCCGCATAGATCGCATAAATCGCGTGTTTTCCTTCTTATTGGCTGATTGAATAATACATGTAACCGAATAGTATTAAACCGGCCGAGCGGGACACGCGAGGTCCATGACGCCTGTCATGTCGGGCGGGTCGTGCGTCAGCATTTTGACGAGTTGTTTAGGTCGATCAATTTATCGTTTAAGATACACACACACACACACACACACACACATGCACACAACGAACGAACGGACGAGCGTTCGCGTCGCGCCTGCCGTATTTCGCCGTAGTCGATTCGAGATTAACGACGCGATGTTGAGATAAGATTGCGGATTTATGAAACGGCGTTCACCGGCGATTTATCATTTTATATCTATTACGTGTCTATCTTAACGTTATTAGGGGGCGTTATTCGATCTCGCCGTCACGTTCCTTAACTATTATTTGCATTTGCTGTATATTCGTATTCTCGCGGTATATTCCCCGGGAGAAACCCCAACCGGCAATCACCTCGCGGCAATCAACGCACGACACGAAGATTGAACGGTAAGAGAGTGTCGAGGAATTTTTCCGCGATTTCCCGAATCTTCCTTTTTCTCGCCTTTTCCCTTTCACCTTTTTTCTTTCTATGTCGTCGCAATATTTTTTTCGCACGAGACGTTATAATTGGGGCCGAGCCGCCCGACGTTCATTACGCGGAGGAGTTATGATATAAGCGAAACATCGGAGTTAAAGCGAAACATACAATTTCCATTACGCTCGTACTTTTTCGAGCGGATGAGGAGAACGTAGGATTCTTCGCGGATACGATACGAGTCGATGTCGCTCTCTTTCTCTCTCTCTCTCTCTCTCTCTCTCCCTCTGTCTCGCGAAAAGCACGCGTGTAATTTCGCGGGGGACTGTACTAAAAATATTATTATTTCGACGCGCATGAACGGCACGAGAGGCAGAAAGAAAAATTAATGACGGAGTATTACACGACGCGTCTCTCTCGGCCATGCGCAAAAATCGCCCGCTAAATCACCGGTCGGCGACCTATAATCTCGCCTATTCAGCGTAATTTATTACGCATTGATATTTACAATCCTTTAGGGTTAATATCTCTCTCGTCACGCCGCGCGACGATTGGCCGCGCGGCCGGGATCGCCGGTAATGCGAAACCTCCTCGTTCGCGAAACCGACGATGATCCGCCGTGATTGCATATTTAGCGCGCGCGACCAACAAATTGACCTTCCTATAGCGCCCCATTACGAGACATTTGCGAATCAATCGCGGCAAGTGGGCGGCGAATTTACATTTAATTACGGTACGCGCGGATACTCGAGAATAGCCGCTTTATGCATCGCGCGGTGCAGCGAGTATTTCCCTCGAGAGGTACCTCGCGCGGCGAGGCAAAGAGTAGCGTCGAACGATAACTACCCTTCCTCGAAACTCAGATAGATATCCACTTGGAGAACGCGTCGCGATTCGGTCGTCCACGGAGAGGAACGTTGCGTCTACACCGAGGGAAAAATTGCCTTAAAATCAACAAGTATTTCTTTGATGGATGCCATTAGCATATTTACTTAAATCTAAATTCTCTTGATTTAAATCAAATATGGCTTACCTGATTTAAGTAAACAATATTTGGTTTAAATAAAGAGAATTTAGATTTAAATAAATATGCTAATGGCATCCATCAAAGAAATATTTGTTGATTTTAAGGTAATTTTTCCCTCCCCAGTGTAGTTTGTGTATTTTAGAGAGTTGCAAAGTGTTCCTCTTAGAATATATACATACAGTACCCTCCATAAGTTTGGAAACGCAGATAAAAATAAGGATATTAAAATGGATATTTTATAATAACTCTGTTTCGCATTTACCTTTAGAAGATCGGCATTTACGTCATTTGATAGAGCGAAGTTTCAAGTTTAGGGATCCATTTTCTGTATTGCTGTGCGATGAAGTTTAGTGGACTCATAAGCAAGCAAAGTCCAAATGCTCAATTTTAAACATTTAGTAATGCGAAAACACAAAATTGTTGAGAAATTTTTTCATGAAGTAAATTGTATAGAAAACTTTAATCTTTTACACGGAAGAAACTAAAAATTTTGTCACATTTTTTTTGCGTTCTCATGGCATGTCTCAAATTGAGAAAAAAATTTTCCATTTTGTCTATTTCGTTTTCATAAAGGCCAAATTACACTAACGATTGGTGATCGACGATTGAAGATTGGAACTGGACTAATTGGAACAAAGCAAACTAAGTCTCAAGCTCGTTGATTCATCAAAATTTAATCTTCAATCGTCAATCGCCAATCACTAGTGTAGTATGTCTTTATGAAAACGTAATGGACAAAATGGAAAACTTCCTTCTTAACTTAAGACATGCCACGAACGCAAGACAAAATCTAAGAAAATTTTAATTTTTTTCGTGTGAAAGATTGAAATTTCCTATACAATTTACTTTCTGAAAAAATTTCTCTACAATTCTGTGTCTCCGTATTACTAAGGGTTAAAGTAAAATTGAGCATTTTGACTTCAGTTGCTCATGACTCCATTAAACTTCATCGCACAGTAATACAGAAAATGGATTCTTAAATTTGAAACTATCAAATGACATAAATGCCGATCTTGTAAAGATAAGTGCGAAACAGAATTATAACAAAATATCCACTGTAATATCCTTATTTTTACGTGTGTTCCCAAACTTATGGAGAGTACTGTACACTGAGAGAAAAAAATAATTGGAATAACTATAATTTATAGTTATATATTTTATAGTTTATTTTGGCCTCAAACATATATTTAAAGTTCATCTAAACATGAAGATACAGCAGAATGAACACAGATTTATAGTCATTTTATTACTCTATGTGTATAGTAAAGCACACTTTGGAATATAGTTATGTGTACCTATATTTACCAAATATTCCAATTGTATTAACTATATAAAATAGTTAATTTCTCTTACCGTTCAATATTTGCTACCTTACTATACTTCAAATAATTATATATATTTCATACTATATTTCAAATAATTATAATTCTTGGGGTAAAAGTTTTACATGGATCAATTATACTATGCTTATATTGTAAATATTACAAACATTATGGTGACATTTACTACAAAAATTATATTCCTAACTATAATCTTTTTACTATGCCATTATAATTCCAAATATCATACATTTTTTTCTCAGTGTATAATGCAGAACGAATGAAGACGACACATCTGAATCCGGAAACCCTTGCTCTTCCAGAGCAGTGTCCAAGCGAGATCTCGCGCATATCCCGCAAGCCAGTCGCAATTGTTTTCGGCCGCGTGGCTACTCCTCGCGAATTCACCAGGCCGGCACCGGCACCGAGAGGTGGTTCCTTCGGCGCGCACGGGGCCCCGGTCGTTG